CTTTATTGGCTGGATTTGATGCACTGGGTCTAGTTTCTGCTACACCAGATTTGGTGCACCTGTTGGCTCTGACAACAAATGTACTAGACCAGTACTAACAAATGTACTAGTCCGGCTCTGACAACAAATGTACTGGACCAGTTGTCAGATATCTAACAGTCATTTACAGGGTGTTCAAAAAGAAAAGTTCCTCATTTCAACTCAAATTTCTGAAAAAGTTTAAGTGTCAAAGCTTTTTTTTTGGCTTTTGACAACAAGTTTTTGCCTTTTTCTGAGATTTCCCTGATTACATAACCCGCGTACATGAAAAATCCATCACCTATTATTCCTGTAATTCTACGGGTTGCAAATTCCACGGATTCGACGGGTATGAACCTTTTATTCATACATTCAAGTATTTCAAGTAAATTTGACAGCAAAAACGTGTTCTTCGTAAAAATCTATAAAGACCTCTTGGCTGAATCAATTTCACTGAAATGAAAGGTATTCTCCATTATTATTTAGGAAATCATGCCATCTTTTGCTCAACTCAATGATTCCATCTTCAAAGAACTGGAGACTTTTTGACGAAGAATAGTTGGTGTTCGGATAATGTGTGTGGATGTATCAGAAGTATGTCAAAACTCATACAATCCAAATCTGTTTGTTTTTAAATTGGGCTTTCCCCTCCTTCCCCTTTATTTTCCGTGATAAGAAATCTGTATTTTGCTTCGCAACAAATTTCTTGTTTGATTTTGTCTTTCTCATCAATTTGGCTTATTTAGTAGTCTTTTCATTTAATTTTTCCTTAACTTGGAGGCATCAAATCGTCTAGCAACCGAAATGGACAATCTCTCGAATCCCCAAGGCGAAGCAGATTTGTGGGTTTTTCGCCAAATCTTTGCTTCTATCAAAAACAGTCTTTAAATTAATCGAAGAGTTTAGGGAAGAAATGAAAAAGGACAAAGACATCGAGATAAGTCGATTGGCAGCAAAAATGGTTCAAATCGAGGCGAATTTAATGGAAAAAATCGCAAAGTTGGAGGCTGAACTGGTTGACGGAAGGGAGAGAAATCGAGAATTGGAAAGGAGAATCGCCGAGACGAAAAGCAAGAACGACGATCTCGAAGCACAATTGTAACAAAGTTATAATTTTCTCGTTTGTGAACATAAAATATAGAGAAAAATCCGACTTTTTTTAGAAGCGAACAAAATACTGAAGTGAGAGACGGAAAAGCCAAGATTGGAGAACTCGATGGGAAAATCAGCGCGTTGCAGAGCAAAAACTTTGATCTCGAAACGCTATTGTGAGTGGTATCCCTTGTCGATTGAGACTTGAGAAAACAGTTTTTTCACTCCCAAAACACTCAATCCACTCAATCCAATCAATTCCTCTATAGACAATTTGAAAGAATCAAAACGGCCAAAAGTTGCAGGCAGATTTATGCCTGCAACTTTCTTTTAACGAAAAGAAATCAGTATTTGTTTACAAAATCTGGAGTAAAGTTTTTCGAAGAAATTCAGAAATCGAACGATGACTTTCTTGGAACTGGATGGATGGTCGTATTTAGGAAAAACCGCTTCTTGGTACAAGGTTTGGTGGATTTTGTGAACCAGGATTATCTTCATCTCAAGGTTGTCGATCAAGAAATGACATTTGATGAAGCCGAGGCATATTGTGCGAGTCGAAAGAGCTGTTTAGTCTCAATTCACAGTCAGGAAGAGAACGATTTTGTTTGTGAACTCGGTAAGAAATCGAAATGATTCAATTCTTAAAATTCTTGATTTTCGTAGAAATTTATGCTTTATAAGCAAGAAAAAAATCGATATTTATTTTAGCGAAAACGGTTGATTCGGGGTACCTTTTCTGGATCGGATTAAAGGTTGAATTTTTCTAATTGAAAGAAATAAATGAATAGAAAGTAATAATTCTTTCAGCGATTGTCGGAAGGCTCTTTGTGAAGAAATTATTCGTTTGACCGATAGTTCTTTGATAGAAATAATGGTTTCAATTGAAAGACTAGAATAATTTCAATAATAAGAAAGGAAAGTCGGATTGAAATATCAATGTCTAAACATAAAAATTTCTTTATTTAGAGAGATCCGAACAAAGAAGATGCTTTGGAATGGACGGATGGAAGTTCGGTGGATTTCACGAATTGGTGTCCGCCACACTTTAATTCGAACTCCCACGCTTTGGTGAGATTTTCAACGTGAAATCATCAAGATTTATTCCAATTTTCAATGCATAATTAATCGCAAAATATTTTTGATCGATCTAAGGAGATTTCTTTGCGTGAAATAACGCAAAGTGTTTTATCAAAAGATTTCCATCCAAAATGAACACATTTCAGCTCTACAGCCACATTGGGAAATGGCTCGCCGTGGCTCCTACCAAACGCTTTTATTTTATTTGCAAAAAGAGCTCTCGAATCTGAGGAATACTTTGTGTTCTTTTCTGTGGACAAATACCAATAAATCCCATTTTACTCAATGTTCTGAAAACACACAACCGCACATTATCTTTTTCTTTATTTCTGAATTGTTCGTTCAAAATCTCTTATGAAAAGTTTTGAAAACCCAGCATTCCGCCTGAAGCTACAAGTATTTTGCTCTCTCGTCGCTCCTGAATAGACTATTAGAGAAACGTGTTGAACATCAATAGACATCAGCATGAGGAAACTGACAATTCTTCGTGAAGGTCGCTCTTCTCGTCCCTCAACTCGTGAATTTGTCTTCGGTTTTTGTTCCTGAAGTTCTCAATAATTCGATTTATGCTTTTTTTCGACTGGTTCTGTAGGCAAAGATCTTGGTCTCTTTTTGGCTAATCATAAAGACTAAGCAAGTAGATAATGTATGTATGTATTGTAGATATAATGAGCTGTATATGTCTTTATAGTCAAAAAACGAATGAAACCCCATTTTCAGACGCAACTTGTTCGAAGAAATCATTTAGCTATGTACATATCACTACATAATACTCTTTCAACAACTTTTCTTGCAAAATGGTCGACTATATAAGGTGCCCGTTAGTAATTTCTAACTGAAAGCAATCAAAATGGATTTCATTCGAAATTCCCCATTCATTTGCCTCGTGATGTTCTCGGCGACGTTTGCGAAAAATTACGTGTAGCTAAGCGGATTTCTTTGTCCAAATCCAAAATCTCTTTGAGGCACGAGTAGCGTCCGGCGAGAGAGATGCTGTTCGAAAATCGCTTTGAGTTTAACAAAGATCTATGTGTAGCTAAGCGAGTTTCTCTTGTTTCCTCTGAAAGCTGACAATTTACCGAAACTGCAGAAAATTTCAATGAATTTGGAAGAAAAAGTTTATGATAAAAATCCAATAGCAAAAACACATCAAATCTGATTGTGTCTAGCAAACATCGCCATTGTTCCCTCATTCTCCAAGTTCACAATACGGGCGTTCATTTCCAAGTCAATTGAAATCAGGGATTTGTCCCATGAAGTCAACTTTTCGAAATGCTCATCAACTTCTTCTACGTCGATTTTGTAGAAATTCATAGTACGGAATTTGCATCTCTTTGGGAAATTGATATTCGGAATCAGCAGGAACACCGAATTTCAGTGAACATCTCGGTTGACAAGCACAAGGCAATCTTGGCGGATTTCTGAGTTGAAAAATGTAAGCAACAATTGGCACCTTCCATTTTGGTGCTTCCTTTTCTCGAATAAATACGGGAACAAAGTTCTCAATCTGAAATTTGGTGAAACGTTTCAGTTTTTCTTTTGCTCTTTCAAGCGCTTCAATCACCATGTAAAGATCGATTGGTTCGAGATGAGAATAGAAGAGTTGATTCTCCGAATAACGCTCAACAATCGACTTCTTTGCTTTCTTCTTTGCTCAATAGTTGGACTTGTTTCGAGATTCAAGAGATTTTTTCGAGAGAAAGGTTTTCCCATCCGAAACATCTAACCATTCTCCGTCAAACTTCTCGACTCGATCAAGCTCCTTATCAACAAAGTGATTTGCATGTTCATTGATCAATAACCATTCCTCTTTGGTTGATTGAGAGAAAAAGGCTTTGAAGTGAATTCTTGTTGTGTAATATGTTTTCTTTAACATCTCCATGTCTTTCACAGCCTCATCAATGTAACGATAGTATGACCAGTAGGAAAAACTGCGTTTGCCCATGTTTTCCAAAAGGTTAAACGCTTTCTCATGTGCTAGTATCTGGTCTTCATAGTCGGTACGTAAAATCTCGTAGAACAGCTCGTTGATCGTGTTCTTTCTAGAATTCATTCTTCTTGAATCAGTGTCAAATATATATTCATTGAAAGGTTCACTCAGATTCTCGGCTTGAGTGATCAGCGTTGGAATGTTTTGCAAGAAATTCTGTCTCTCTGCCTGGCCAAGGACCTCAAATTTTTTGAGGAATACCGGACGAACGGTGGGATTCAAATTCTTCGAAGGATTCTCAAGCTTTAAGCCTCTTAATTCTTTTGAATTTTGATCAGTAGATTCGGAATCAAAATGAATGTCAGGCACTTCAGAGATACTATCAACATTCACCACAGCCCTGCCCATTGTATTATCAAAGCCAATCGGTCGAAGTCGTTTCTTTTGGTCCTCATCGATAAATGGTAACTCGTCAAATTTCTTGAAGTTAAGATCTTTCTAAAGTTTATTTTTAATCGTTCAAAGAAAGAATCAAAGCAAAACCTCTTTGATCTCAAGTAAATTCTCGAAAATCTCCGCAGCCGAAAATCTCTGAGAATGATCGAAGTCAACACATCTAAAACTGATTCAGCTAAGCTTTTGAAATGACAAACCTCTGAATTATGTTTTTAATGGAATCTTGACAGTTTGCTGAATCCAGTTTCATTAATTTATTTGTAAAGACATTGAGGCGAAATCGCTCGTGATCAAAATGCCTCAAACCATACTCGGAGAGGACGGTTCTGAAAGAAAAGTGTTAAATTGTTCAAATTTTGCGATAAAACTTGGTTTAGATAAACCGTTATCACTGATCAGATTTCTTGGACGAAAGTCTAACCATTCACCTTTGTTCAACAATCTCCCAAAGCACAAGTCCCAAACTGTAGACATCGTTTCGGTGAGAAGACTAAAATATTAGGCTATCCCGAAAGTCTTTTCGTTCCTTTTCGTACTAATGATCACGTGTGGCTGACTGGTTAAGTGTCTTTTATCTTAATCGGAAGGTCGAGAGTTCGAACCCCGTGTTCGAACCCAAATCCCGCCGCCCCCGATGTATTCTTGATTTTATCGTTTAAAACCAATAAATGCACCAATTGCACTGCCCGTTTTTGCTCTCGAATTTGCTTGAAAGTGAACCGAGTTTGACTTAAAAAGATGGGAAATTGAACAAAAACAATTTTTTTTCAGAGCAAACCATAGGTTGATTGGTGAATTTGTTGATTTTTGATGGAACTATGAAAAGGAAAGAATAGATTTTCTGAACCCTCTAATATAATGTGATCGGTTTCATTCAATGCCAAACCATGAAATGATCCTTTCGTCCAACTGGTTCCCCAGCTCTTGGCGGACTCATATAACGAAGAGTGCCCACAAAAGTCCCACTGCACGAATCGGCTTTCAATTTGATGCTCCCAAAGTCGCCGACTTTCAACAAGAAGTTCTTTGTCACCAAAATGCTAAAAATGATGTATAATTGCTGGTTTTGATTTTCCCACTTGTCTGGCTTGATATCTCTATGAATGACGTCATTTTGTTTCAAATAAGTAAGCACACTAAACAGCTGTTTACTCCAGGTCAACACTGTCCTCATTGAGTAGATGATCTTTGCATCGAAAAGCACTGAAAGAATGGGAGTTTAACATGTTTTCTTGCTTTTTAACAACCTTGCCGAAGTGATCCCTTCTCACAGAATTCCATCACTATTGCCAGCATTTGTTGGCCACCATCGGAGACATTTCTCGAGCGGATGTAAGCAACAATGTTCGGGTGACGGAGCTTTTCAAGAGTGGCACATTCTTTTTTAAACGCCTCTCTCTGGTATTCGTTCTTGCAGTAAACGTACTTCACAACGGCTGGACTGAAAGAGAAAACTTTTGCACAATAACATTGAGAACATGATTGGTAATTTAAAAATTGTACGGCTTGTGATTTTTAAGAAGATAAACGTCTCCGAAACCGCCGTGGCCGACGAAAGTCTTCTCTCCATCATCACCGAAATTGTCGATCGATTTCTCGATGATCGCTTTTCTTTTTCGGTTTGTTGATGATCGACTCATTGAATCTAATAGATAATTGTTTAAAAATCACTAAATATTGAAAGTCTAAAAGGAAATATCTTAAATGAGAAGTTTTTAGCAATTGAGCCCTTTTGTTGCGAAATAAAAGTCACATTTGTATAGTTTGAGGTCACAGTCGTATGAATCAGCAATCTCATGTAATCTAAAAGAAATATTATGAAATACCTAATATAAATGTAATCAAAGACATGAGGAAATGCGTTTTATGTAATTTAAAAACACAAAAACCACATGATTCATTCTTAAACTCATAATTTGGATAAAATGAGATCATAATTACTGACTGATGAACTCTGAGAAAAGACAGCGGAAGTTTTCTATAATAAAGGTAGGTACCGTATTTCCTCTAATAAACGCCCCCCCCCCCCTCGACCAACTTTGGACGCTTCGTTCTCAGCTCCATTTTGAGATATTATTATGTTTAATATACCAAAAGATAGAAGACATTAAGGGCTATCTTTTGGTTTATTAAACATAAAAATATCTCAAAATGGAGCTGAGAACGAAGCGTCCAAAGTTGGTCGAGGGGGGGGGGGGCGTTTATTAGAGGAAATACGGTAGGTACGTTTCATTTTGTTTGTTCCACCTTAATAAGTATAATGCAAAAACGGACGTAACCCGTAGAATAAAAGGTTCATAACCCCTAGAACCCGTAGAATTACAGGAATAACAGGTGATGAATTTTTCATGTATCGAGAATTTAACTACTATTAGGTTGGAAAGAATGTTTTCGGAAAAAATCTGCACGGTGATTTCTTGAAAAGCAAGCCATGAATTCTTTCCAGATTTTTTTGATAAACTTGACTATATTTCAAAAAGTTTGTAAGCAAAAAAAATCAGAGTGAGTTTCAGGTAAAAAAATAAGAGATTTCTTCAGCTGAAGTGACTTTAGTCACTTTTTGAGTGACCGGCCTTTAGACAAGTTTTTAATGGGTTAATGAATAGGCAATCGGCCCATTCAAAACCTAAAGTCAAGTACTTAAAATAGAGAAATTTGTGATAAAGGCAAATTTTATCTAATGCTTTAACTTTTAAGTATGACCTAATTTAGCAAAAAATTATTTTTGGAAATAGAGCTTCTCTGTAAAAAATTCTTGGCTTAAAAATCGAGATTATAGAGCGTATTGCTCATTTGTGCTAGCTTTACCTCATAAAAAATCGTTTTTATGGTGCAAAAAGTGAGCTGAATTTAAGCTTGGAAAATAATAATTCTTCAAAAATCTCTAAAATTTTAAGGGAAAGCTGTAGTCATTTTTTTAAATTTTTAAATTTTTTAAAGAGTAATTTCTTGGGGTCGACTTGGAAATAGTAGAATAAAATGTTCTTGATCGAAGAAATCGAGAATCCAGAATCGATGAAAATGAGATGAGTTTTGCCGGTTGCGCAGATTCCGGCCCATACCATGACGGGATTTTGTCGGTGTTGAACAATCACAGAGCTGCCTGGAGAGGGCGTTGACCAAATCCGATCGTTTTGGTGGTTGTAGCTTTGCTCCACCGAGAAGAGCTTCAGGTCAGAAAACAGGATTCGCTCCCAGTGTGGAGTTGCGGCCCGCTTGAGAAGCTCTCGACATCTTTCGAGTCGAACTCGCTTTTTTTCGTCTTCGAGTTGTTGCCCTTGCTTGAGCTTGTAAGGGTGAATATTGAGCTCATTTTTAGCCATAAGTCGAACCGATTCGCGAGCGATCCCCATCTGTCGAGGGATCTTTCTCATTGAGACCTGTGGATTCTGGACCACGCGCTTCTGAATCACTTTGCGATTTCTGGAGGTGTTAACTGTTCTTTTTCTGCCTCTTCCTGGACGATCTCCATCGTTGCCAAGCTCCTTGTGTCGCTTAATCGCTTTTCAGACGAGCTGATGAGAAATGAGAGCTGACGTAGCAATCGCGCGATCGCACTCACGCATTGACCTTGACGATGAAGCTCCAGAATGGCATATCCCTTGTTTGTCATCCTATAAATAAATAAACTTGAAACAAAGTAAAACAACAAAGAAACTAATAAAAACAATCACAGAGAATAGGTTAAAAATAAATTCGTTTGCCAAAATTGAAACTTAGAGGATTTTAGACTGCCGAAAATTCCGCAACGTTATTTCTGGTCACCCTGTAAAAAGCTAGATAGGCGTCTTCTGGTGTTTCTTCTGGTGCACATCTTCTTCTGGCTTGGCGTCATGATCGGGTTTCTCTCCAGCTCCAACCCATTGGCGCTTCCTTCAGAAGTTGGCGGTTAGAACCCACTTCTCGTCCCCCGTAATAATACGGGGGAGAAAAGATTTCCTTTCGTAACGAGAGAGAAGGGCGGCGCTGATTGAAGCTCGTTGCCACTTCTGGGTGTCCGTGAGATCATGAGGGACCCAAACCCCAAGTTTTGATTTAAAGTCATTTGCATGCAAATGATTCAATACTGTTTTGTGATCAACTGAGAGTTCTTCTGCTATTTCCCCGTGAAGAGAGCCTATTGTTTCTTTGGAGAATTTCAAGCAACTTAGCATCGTCAAAGGAGACCCCTGGATGACCCTTTCCTTCATCTTCAAGAGACATATCCCCAGAACAAAACCTAGCAAACCAGGTTTGAAAAGTGCGTTCTGCAGGTGCATCTTCACCGTAAATCTTGCCAAGGTTAGCAGAACATTGGGCTCCATTGTGACCTTGCAGGAACTCGTATAACATAGCATGTCTCAGATGTCCGGGTGGCAGATTATTCGCAACAAAGCAGAATAAAAAATGAATAAAATAAAGAGATAAGGTTTGATTCATCATTGTTTTTGAGAGAATAGATCTGTTCTTATCTGCTCGCCAAAATGGCAGGCAGCCGATTGTTGTTTACAATTTAAGAGAGTGTTAGGAAACTAGCCGCTGAGTCATAGTCCCCAACCCAATAGATGAGGGAAAAAAATAAAGCGCGTTTTTTGCGTGTAACAATAGATTGCATTCTACAAGAAATAGCAACTATCAATCAATAAAGTATTCTCCATTTTGACTTCTTTCCATCTTCGACGCAAGTCCTTCATTTCATTTATGGAAAATTGGAGATTTTTGGAACCCTCGTCTCTATCGTCTCTGGTGATTCCATCCAATTAACGCCACATGAAACAGTCACAAATCGGCTTCCAACCTGGTCTCCAATTCGGAGACTCTTGTCGTGATCTCGCTAGATCCACGTCCGGTTTCGTTCGCTCACGATCGTTCGCTTTGCCCGCTGTCTAATTGGGAGACCCGTGAAAGTATTTGCGCTGATGGGTTGGAAAATAGACATAGTTCGGCCCTTTGGACCGTACAATCTCTCATTAGGCCTTTCAGGCAGTTCAGAAAAGTCCACGGTTACACTCAGGCCCTTCTGGCCTTCAAAAATTTTCATTTCAATCCTTCGGGTCTTTCAGAAAATTCATTCCTGCCCTTCGGGCCGTCAAAGCAGTGATTCAGGTCCTTCACACATCGGTGCAATTTGCGTTTTTTGGTGAATTTTGATGAAAGATGTGCCATTCCAAAAATTTTCCAAATTCTCCTGACAGATTTTTTGAAAAATCGTTCTTTAGTGGAAAAAGCGGTATTTACAACGGAGAACCCCGGGAACCCCTTTTTTTCGAAGCCTTTAACTCGGTGACATCGCAAAATCGAAAGATGTAAGGTGATAGATTCGATTTATTAGATTCTTATCTTCCTTTTCACACCAAAAGCAAGCAATTATAAAGCCTCCACAAAAACTAGTAGTATTGTGAATCTAAAAATAACTGTCTGTCTGTTTGTAATGACCTCAGAGAGCGCCTTTTAAATGTGCAAAATTCCATTCTCAAACATCTATTCCGGCTCGTCAAAACAGTTATTCCTGCCCTTTGGGCCGTCAAAACTTTCACTTTGGCACTTTGGCATCGTCGCTCCATTCATTCTTCCCATTTCCTTGAATTCAAAACGAATTCACCAATTGGTCGGAATGGGTGTGATGGCCGTCGCTCTATTCATCACGGTTCTCCTTCTTTTTCAACAAATTTCTTCGTCAAAGTTGGTCAGAAAGGGATTTTCGATGATCTTAGATTTCAGCAGTAGAGACGAGGGCTCGTCGTCCATTGATATCGTCCATCCCATCAATTTGAGGTCTTGTCAAAGAAATTTGTGGGTTTTTTTGGAAAAAAGCAAATCAATAAAGCGAATTTGGTAGAATGAACAAGAAATAGGTTTGCGTGTCCCAATGGCAAGACTTTTCAGGAGTAAAACCCAACAAGAACTCGTCGAGGCTCGAGGAAAAATCTGCGAACTCTGTGAACGACCGACGAAGATTGGTGCTGATTTGAAAGCCGAGATGTGAGTCTTGAGATCCCTTAAAGAAATATCTGAGAATGAGACACATCTAGAGATTCCAAAGTCGCCGAAATGTCAAGGACCTTTTCCGCGTTGAAAGCCGATTTGTACGTTGAAAACTGTTAGGATTTGACTGGCTAGAGTTGTTCAGCGAGAGGGAGTTGAACGAAACGAGGGAAGAAAATGCCGAGGTCGAGAGGAAATTGAGGTCCGAAAGCATGGAGCTAAAGGCCGAGTTGTGAGTCTTCTTCTCTCTCTGGTTATTCTTAGTTATGACAGATTGTTAACTAACAGAACTCCTTTTAGAGCAACGAAAATAACCGAATTGAGGGCTCAAATGTGAGTTCATCTCTTGTCGACTGAGACTTAAGAAAACAGTTTTTTCATTTCCCAAACACCCATTCCACTCAATCCAATCAATTCCTCTTTAGACAATCTGAAAGGGAAAACAAAACGGCCGAAATCGAAATTTTTTTTGAAACCAGAAAAGTGAGATGATTTGATTCGTATAAAAAAGTGTTTGCCACATATCTTTTAGCGTGTTGGTTGCAAAAGATTTCATTCTGAAAGTGGCCGATTTTGGATTGGTTCGGGACTTGACGCGAATAGACACCGTTTCGACCGTTGGAACTGACTATTATAACTTTATATGAGTCCCGAATTGCATCTTGTTCCTTATGGA